ACTAGGTGCGTTCTACATAGTCGCCCAGACAACAAGACCAAGTTGCGACAACGAGGTCAACCCACTTCTAAAAAGTACCGTTGTTACTATCGTAGCACCAAGGGATTCCACACTTCTTAAAGATGGCTTAGGATGAAGGTAAATGGGGCATCAAAATTTTTTCTAATTAATAAAAAGTTAATAAAGCTGAAAAAGTCATATGTCTTAGCGACAGGAAGACCTAGTGAAATGAAACCGGTTTGGTCTCCTTTACTATGGTAGCGATGAGTATGTCCAACATGGGACCTTTGACTTGATCCAGTTCTAAACAGTCGAATTCTGGAAATTATCATGTAGGGAAACGTTCCACGATTTCTACCTGTCACCCCGACGAAATTACAAAAACGACGTCGCAGCACATCATTACAGCCAAAATAGAGGGTAATAAAACTTAAAGTAACACCAGCTTGGTCTTCGTCTCTTAATTCCTTAAGGCCAAAATCAGCATTTAATATATTTTAGCTAGAAGCCAAGCGAAAGCAAAGCAAGATTTTTACTTATAATTTCACAAGTTCAAAGAGGGAGTTGAATTTTGGCTTTATTTAATTTTTGCATGAAAATATAGTTTCTAGACTACCTGTAAATTACTTATATGAGATGTTTTTACCCTATTTCGTTTCAGGTGATGTGGATGAAAAGACATTTGGGAAAAGCAAGGCTATGTGAAATTCATTGGAAGCGTCAGCTCTACTCATATCATTTTGGGAAAAGTCTACTACCAGTCCTTCATCACCTGACACAAAAGAGGGTGAATACAACTCATATAGTTGCTTTATTTATGTACATGAATCATTATTAACATGATACATAGCTGAAAAATTGGCAGGCTAAATACTCTCAACTGTCACCTCGACTTACCGCAGTTTTGCAGGAATCCGAGTCTACCAGTCGTTTCGCCCTGAGGCACTGGAGATAGTTTTCTCCGGGAGTCAATAAGTTCACCGCCAAAGCTCCCCAAAGTGACACCAACAGAAGCGCCAACATTAGAACATGAGGGCAAGGAAGTACTGCCATAGCCGAAACGTGGAAGTCGGGTGTGATTTCGCAACGAAGAGATGAATGGCGGACTTGCAAGTACTTTCTTCTTCATAACACCTCCTCTGCCAACGAGAACAGAGCCTATCCCTCCTAAGGCGGAAGCTGAAAATATGCTGCTTGCACGAGAAGCTAGATTCGATCTACGACAGTTAATTGCAGTTACCTCAACTGCCTGCGGTGGAGAAGGCCTGTGCGGTCCCTCAAGTCTACAGGTTTGCGATTGGATGCCTCGTGTTTGATCCACCAAAACACCACAAACAGATTGGGTGGCATTTCCAGTGCCAGAAGAGTGTTGGATACTGCGAGGATAATTAGACCGTGAGTGTCTGTTAGTGGGCAGGAAACTGGGCATTGAAAATTTTGGCGATCGGGATTTCAACAAATTTGGCGACAGAATGGACGAAAATGGAGGGACTTGCTTTCTAGGTTGGAAGGAACAAGGCATCTCTGATTTTCTGGACAAAGCCTGTACAGCACTGGGACTCGTATGAGGAGGGCACTTGGTATCGCCCGAATCGTCAGTATCATTAGCGCAATAGTAGGCCGATTTGCAAAGATCCGCTTTCCATGGAGAGAAGCAAAAAACTTTTCGTCTTTGCACTCCAACACACAAACCGAGTGAACTGGTATTTTTTGTCCCACTGGATGGCGATTTTAAGGCAGGGCCACAGGCAGTTGTGTTTTTCGGTGTTGCATCAACAGATAATGATGATTCTTGCTTCCGGGTCAATTCTGAAGGTGGAAAGGTGACGAGGCAGGAGACTGGATGCTCGGTAGAGGCAGACGAGCTTTCGGGATGGGTGCTGTTGTATGCCTGTGACTGCAAATGCTGGACGGATGGATGTCGAGAACACATCAAGCACTTTTGTTGAGACCTCTGCGAATCGAAATGTGCGATATCCCTATTTAATCCTAGTTCCCTCTCCTCTTGCCGACAAGTTTGATCAGGTTCATCATATTCCTGATCAATAGTGCGATGATATTGATGTCGATGTTTGAGTTGATCCTTTTCTACTTTGGATATCATAACTAAGGATTCTGCTGAAGAGCCACTACATTTTGTGCAATTTTGTATACTCCCGGTAAGTGGAATGGGTTCATTTGAACATTGGCTCCTCAA